TAAATAAATATACAGTTAAAATTTAAAGAGGACACATTTACAAAGAATAAAAGGAAAAGGATATGACACACACACACACACACACACACACACACTATATGTATATGTATATGTATATGTATATGTATATAAATAAATGAATGATAAAATGATATATGATAAAATGGCTGAAATTATGCAAGATTGACAAATCTTGAAAAGATTTTGCCAGTCTCACCTAGAGATCTCCCTTGAGTATGCTAAAATCTCGGCCATCTTGCATAAAAATGGAAAAATCTTTTCAGATTTTAGCCTTCGTACTTGAAAACTTACAAGAACAACTGTAAGAACAGTGAACAAAATAGATTAATTTTTAAGAATTATTTTAATAAACTCATTTTAAAATGTTATATTTCATTGTGGAGTACCACAGGTGCCACATAGATGTACTACAGGTACCTTGATGCTTATGGGAACTGCATTGGTGACTGATGCCCAAGGGAATGAATCTGGGTCTTTCAGGATGCAGTTGATGCATTGCAACACACTGAGTTCTTCTAAGTTGTAAAATATTACTAAAAACAGTATTTTCTTCCTGCCAGTTCTCCACATACTTTGGTTCATTCTCTAGATTTATCTTGAATTTTTATAATATTTTGCATTTCAAGTAAGTAAGGAAATGTAAGGAAATGATACAGCGAATCTCCGTTTTTATTTTTGCCAACTAGTTAGATGAAGCATGTACAAGTAAGTCTGGTAGGAATTCATTGCAAGATATAGGCTCAAGTGACAACTTTATGGGGTGACAGCCTACATTTTCTACAAATAAATAGGCATGGTTTGAGGAAATAGATATAGTCAGGTTATGCTGGAGAAAAAGTACCAATCCATTTTTTTCTATCTTCTTTTTTACTAACATTACTGGCTGATTTAATTTATGAGAATATGACAGTCAAAATAGTCTCAACTATGCTGCATTCTGGATCTACAGAGCAGGAACAAGGATGCCAGAGGCTGAAGTACCCATGTACACAGACACTGACTAGGCAAAGACCCTGGTATATGATGTGCTTGCTCTGTGGAATCATCCTACCTTTCCACCAGACTGCTTCTTTTTAATCCAGCAAGTGGGTGTTCTTTACTGTTAAAGCAGTGTTCTGTGGCCAGATTCATAAATTGCTAGCCACTTATTCCCAGACTTCTGCTGTAAGAGCTGTAGAAAGGAGCTACATTAATTGACTGAAGACTGATCTTCATAAAATAACCAGAGCAGAAGTTACATTTTTAATAATGTCTTGCCTTCAGTCTCTAGGAAGCTGTAGAAAGAGGGGAAAAGCCCAGCTAAGAGGGGTTTGAGAATTTTCATAATATTCATGTCAATTTCCTTCATCAGGATTTCCTCGGTCAAACGTTCTGCACCCTGGGGGAGATTGTTGGATCACCAGGAAGTCGCTTGGAGAAGCCTCTGATGTGAGTGTCTAGTCAATGTCATCTTTGATGTCATTAGTATGGCTTCCAGCTTCTCCTCTTCTTCTGCATTGGGTTCATTCTGTCACACCTAGTGAAGTATAAGGCTTACAGTGAGATTTTAAGATGAATCCTATTAAAGGGAGTCTACATTTCCCAGAGATAGACTAAAGACTAATTTAACTTTGGGTAAAACCAGTAGCCAGATATTAGTTTCTTTCCTGCTTGTTATTATGTCTAGGTCAGCTTTCCCCAACCTGATGGGTCACTGATGCGTGGGGAAAAAGCAAAATATCATGACCACATGACATAAACTCTTTGCAAGTTTGTGGAAGGCAGTATGTAATATTTTCTTCTAAACCTAAACACACTGAAAATAAAGCCACCCAAACCATTTAGTCGTATTTCTTATAAACATGGTTAAAAATAGCAAATACAAGAGTCATACAAAATACAAAAATTTGGATTCACATATATGAACCTCAGAGAAGATCTACCACTTTGAATCTTTTCTCCTATTTCTCATATATATAATTTACATTTGTTGAGCCAACCAGCAGTATTCCAGGAAATTATTGTCAGAGTGGAGTGCTTAGGGTTATATTCTGAAAGTAGTCAGTCATCAACATCAATGCAATTTAGTAATCTTTCCTTATAGAAAATAGCACAGTGATTCCTGCTTCTAGAATTACTCACTGGTGGGTTTTGGGTGGACCTAGGGCCCCTTGTAGAGACCACTGGATTGTCTGGGTTACCACCTAATTCATTGGCCTTCAGGTATCTCATTTGTTGCCAATTTGAAGCAGACTCAATGTTAGGTTTATTCTGCAATCTCTTTGTTTCTCTTGTGCCTTTTGCTTCAACATCAGGGGCAGACATTACTTTATTACATTCCGTTGTTTGATTTGTTTGATTAGTTATGTTCCCTGATGGATTGACTAGCTGGTCTTTAAGTTTACAGGTTTGTTGATATACAATTGGCTGTATTTTGTAAAAACAAGATACTGTGATAGATATTTTATTAATAGAATCCTTAAGATTGAATGTATTATCTGCTGTTTCTGTTGTTTTGAACATAACAATTGCTCTTGCTTTGAAATAGTTAAAAAATAAGTACTCAGTCTTACTAATCATATTTATAGTGATTGATGGTTCAACAAATGTAATGGTATTTCTTTTACTCAATATTTAAGCAACTTTGACATGATTCTGTTACAGGAAAGTTGGGTGCACAATTATCTTTATCTTCAGAGCTTTACTCCATTTATTGTAAAGGCTTCTAAAACTTCCAAAAAAGGGCGTAACAATGCAGGCTTAGCAATCCTTGTCTCAAGTGCTTTAAAGGTGGAGACAACCTTACTAGGGCACTATGAACAATACACTATTACGATACAATTAAAATTAAAACAGTTTGATTTAATAATCATAAATATTTATCTTCCACCAGCTAAAACATGATTCCGAACCAAGCATATTTGGACAGAATTGGAACAATATATATACGATCTGCTTTTTAAATTCCCCCATACACATTTTGTGATTCTGGGTGATTTAAATGCAAGAATTGGCCCTAATAATGAAGCATTGGTAGCCAAGTTTCCTTATTAATCTGTCAAACCTGGGAAAGTATGACAGACAGTCTAAAGATCAGAACATTG